ATGAGGTACAGTGTGGGTCAAAGTGTGGGTGGCGTGTTTGGGTTTTTGTGTGGAGGTGTGCGCACAGAGGGCCGGTGAGGATGTGTGTTGAAGCTCAAGAGTGGCCGAGGCGAGGCTGCAGAGGGAGGTGTGTGGAAATGGTAATCATTTGTTGTACTGATTCCACTCTAGCCAGGGCAGCACGCACTCACTCACACACACACACACACACACACACACACACACACACACACACACACACACACACACACAAAAACCCTCCCTTGCACATACATAGCTCGCTCAGACACAAACCAACTGGAGTATAAGCAGACGCATGCGGTGGCGTTGTGGAAATAGACCCCTCCGTATTGATCCCCTTCACATTCCCTTAGCTGGGCTGCCACACATGAACACAYTCACACATAAATATGTGCACTAACACATTCACAGACCTACTTTAACACCTAACAATGAAGCAACACTGTTGTTTCTTCTAAAGAACTTTAATGAATGTAACAAAYAAAAATACGTTTTAATTTGCCGATGTAAATCAATTTTTTTTTTGTATTTAACTAAAATATTGTATTAAATGAACATTTTGYCTGTTTCTGCAGGTCAGTGGCTGCAAGGTTCATGAAGGAGGTGGCAGAGCTCAGGGAGAAACTCCAGCAGGCTGATGACCAGAAACTCAGGGCTGAAAGAGAAAAACATGATGCACAAGTGCAGGTAAGGAATTTCAAATGGATTCTTATAAAGACCTGGGATGGACCTGCTCAGTGTGTCCCCCACCTTCTGCGCAGGAACAACTGGCACAAGTAGTGGCTCCACTTTACAACTTATGTCAAGGAAAAAAAATATTATTTTTAAATTATACAGTATTAACATAGGCACCAGCTATAAGATAATGGAAACACTTTTTTACCTCTTAAGTGGGATACATATTAGGATTTTTGAACAAAAAAGGTGTACAACTTGCAACACTTCCTGTATTTAAATGTTAATATCCAAAACCTCTTACACTGAGTTTCTGGATTTTTCTACTGTAACTCACGGCCTGGCCCATTTTGTACCAAACAGAGTCAGGTTTTCTGTACAACACAAAAATGCTAATTCACCTTCTCTCGTCTCATTTTATTCCCTCCGATGTCTTCTTTATTTTTYTTCCCTGCCCGCCCCTCCTTTTCCCTTTTTTTGATGATTAGTGGCATATATCYGGGGCTAGAGCTTGGATTATCTTGTCTGAGAGGGAGGGGTCTGTGCAGGGCCAAACTGCAGCGAGGTGATTTGGAGCGTTAATTCTTGGGTGTAATATTCCCTGATATTCCCTAATGTTCTGGCTGGGAGCTGGGGGAGTCTCAGGGGAGAAGGGCTGTCAGAGCTGAGCCACTGTGGCACAAAGGCAAAGTGGATAATTAAGGGCAAAGGCAGTGGGAAGAAATGATGTTCAACTTAACATCGCAAAAACTTTAAATTCTGTCCAACACTTCCTCACTCTCTGATTGTTTCTCAGGTATTGATTTTGCTTTATTATTTATTTATTTTTCTTTTTTAAATGTTCTGGAAATGTACTTTTCCTTGGTTTCTTCTATTTTTATGCCTCCTCTGTTTCTCTTAACTTCACTCTTTCTCACAYTTTACCTCACCTTACCATTTCTTTTTTTATTCCTTGTGAATAATGTAACACACGTGGCATGGTTCTTCCCTTTTTTTTTTGTTTATTGCAGCAGGGTGATTGCCTAGGGCCAGCAAGACGCCAGCTAAGGCCAGTTGATTGCTCCGTCAGTAGTCAAGCAAACGCTCACAAAGAGTTCTTCAACTATTTCACGACTGTTAAAAATCCTTTCATCTCTGCGTTTGCGGCGAGACTGGGCTCTTTTCTCTGTTGCCTGTGATCAAAACTGTTGCACGACATGTCAGAGTTTGTCAGGAGTCTCTCAGGCCAGAGTGTTTCATGAAGTCGGTATGGAAAAGGCTRCTGAATGAATGATCAAGAAGAAAGTGAAGGTGTGTTTCTGCAATGTTCAAAGCAGCGGCAGCTTTGGTCAGTCGTTCTAAAATGTTAATATAATTTAAAAATAATATTTTTTTCCTTGACACAGGTGGCAAAGTGGAGCAGTGCTACTCTCACAATGTAACAAAACCGGTTTTAGTTTGARTTTGCCCAAAAGGCCCACATTTACAACATTGCACCTCATAGAAAATGTGTTTTGGCATGAAGTTTTGACTGCTGTCAATGCGCAACGCTAAGTTAAAGTTCCAAATGCACAGAAAAAATCATCTTTGCATGCTTCTGTTGCATAACTGTATATATTTATGGGACTTTCCTACTYTGTGTGCAAAGTGCGGGTAGGGGGTATTCAAATTAAGCACTCGGAGTGATTTTAAAGGTCTGCGCTCACGATACTTTGCTGATTATACAATATTCACCTCAAGGTAGCAAAAAAAAACAAAAACAAAAAAAAAAACGCATGCCTTAAATTTTTCTGTGTGGAGCACTCACAGGTGTGGTTCACTGGAAGAAAGTGTGTGTGAAGGAAGAGCTTCTCCTTTTGAGCAAATGTATTTGAAACGGCAAAATGAAACTTCAAAACTAGTGTGGTTCAAACAGAACTTCAAAAACACATTCTGTGAGGACAAAGCTGACATCTTTTTGATCCTGTAATAATTGCGGATGAGGACCAAGTGAAACCAGCTGTCAATGAAATTAAAAATAAAAATGACAGTTATAATGAGCATATTTTTTGTTGTTGTTTTGTTATGTGATCACTATTACTTTGAAGCTCCAAATCCCTTATTGTATCATTTAAACTCAGACTTTTAAAATCTTTGTTTTTTATTGATCCAGTCAATTAGTGGTTATTCTTTTATTTATTTATTTTTTGTWAAAGTAATTGGAAGTGATTTTGTGTACTAGCTTCTTCGTCTTTGTGTTCAGCTTAGATGTATTAAGCTGATGAAACAAATATCCCCACTTTCTTTTGTTGTTGCAGGACTCGGCAGCTGCCATGTTGTGTTTTTGAAACCAGTGCACTCGAGAAATATGTAGCCTTACGTGCTCCTCCTTCGCATACAATCACAATGTCACAAGCTTTTTATTTTTTTTTACTCTTTTTATTTTAATACATGAATCATTACAGCTAGATGTTTGAGAATAATGCATGCTTGAACAAGCAGCCAGGTATGAAAGCACAAACCATGTTTCCATCTAATTGTAATGTGAATTTTGAGTGAACTTTTAAAATGTTGTAAAAAAGGGGGGGAAATTTTGATTAGGGCGTTTGGAGCGAATCAACCAGGYTACACAAAGCAGACATTGACGTTACTCATGTCTGTAACAAACAGCAAGTAGATGTTGCAAACTAGCAGGGACCTAGCCTGGTAAAAACCAGACCCTTGTCCTTCACTTTGCTTCATATGAGGGTCTGGACTCTCGGCTGTAGAGAAGCAATTTTTGCTGGAGGCGTGGCCTCTGTTGAAGTTTAAAATGATTGGATTGTTTGGCCRCAATGTATGYGTGCCAGCTCCACTGTGAAGGAGGCTAAGCTAAGAAGCTAACTGGAAATTGCGTGCCCTGTAAACAACCCTACTGAGAGGAGAAATATACYGAGCTGAATGAGAAGGCTGTAAAAGAGAGCTGCTGCTTTGTCTGACAAATGTAATTTAATTCGGAAGCCTTATMAACACGGACTGGCTTCATTCACTTCCTCCTCTGCCGTATGCTAAACCAACTAGCAGACACTGCGCAGAAAATCGACGTTGTTCAAAACTCTGCCTTGTGTTTGCTGACTGGYCCAGGTAAAATAAACTAYAAGCAGACACTGCACAGAAAATCGACGTTCTGTTCTCTGATTGGYCCACATGAAAATTCTCCCAAAGAWATCCTTGTCCRTGGGAGAAATCCCAGACGGAGCAGTGAAGTGAAACTAGAATTGAGCAGAACTGTAGAAAGGCAAGGGCCAGACTAGCAGGGACCACACATCTCAGGACAATGGAGAGAAGTTTTCAGGAATGTGTTGCTAGTTGTAAGTATTCTGTCATATCAACCAGTATTAGCGATGTCACGCTATCAGTCCACACATACCTGTTTTTTCTTCCAGCCATGTTTTTTTATTTTTATTTTTTTTTGCACATTATGGGAGTATTCGGGAAGACGCSGACAGCGGAAACCACAGATCCATTATTTGAGTTAAATGTTCGTTATGTCAGAACTCCCTTTTTGGATTAACTCTTTGCATTAACTCTTTTTCAGTCAACGTAAAATCTTGCTTGCGAAATTGAGGAAATTTTTTTTGTTTTTTGTTTTTTTTTTATTTCAGATATTGCAGTTTCCATCAACCTTTTCTAATCTGATACTTCAAAATATACATAGAAAAATGTTGAAGAGTCAGCACCTGAAAACATGATGTGAGGTGGGTTTCTCTTTTTGAACACAGACTCTGTTGCATTTGTTTACATAAAGGGGGCGGGACTTGAAACTTGCTTTGGACCAAGCTGGCAGAGAAGCGGGTCCTGTTCTGATTTTATTCCCATATTCCGGACCGAGGTCTACCTATGTTTACAGTCTTTGGTGTACAGTCAGCAGTTTACTTCCTCACCCCTGCACTTAACAGAATTCCTTCCTTTTTCACTCAYGCTGTCCTCCATCATGTCAACAACAGATGAGGTTTTCAATGAATCGGACTCCAAACAGTGTTTAAAGATCAGTGTGATGGCTGTTGTGACTATAACTCCTTCATTAGGTCCCAATCTCTGTTATTGACCTGCATAAGATGAATTATCCAGTGACAAAAAAAAAATCAAAGAGTTTGAAATAGTAAATGGTACACTACAGTGGCCTATGGAGGAAATCTATATTACAAATTGCATTGGAGCACAGAGGCTGAACCTCAGATCGCTCTGGTTCTTTTGTGTCTGTTATTGTGTGTTCAGTGTGCGCCATGTCTCTGTTCCATGCAGTCTTGTGTTGTTTTAGAGGTTTAGTGGTTGTTTTCTGGTTTAAAAGAGAAGCGTTTGCATGTTTTCCCACTGACAGTTTTGGAATTGCATGTATGTCACTAAGCACACACAGACAGACACGTGCACACTTTCTCTCGGCCCTGTCCCTCCACATGAGTCCAGTTCAAATACACAGCAAACTAAAGGGACGTTTTCTGCGACTGATCATCTCATCCGGCTCCTCTCCTTCTCCCCTAATTTTACTCTGCCACACACACTCACACAATCAGTCATTAGTGTGTCTATATCAACTTTTTTTTTCATGGGGTAAAGATTTTAAACAAATTTTAATGAGTGTTYGGATAGCAAAAAAGTTTAGCAACAYATTTTTATGCTACTAAAGTTGTGATAGTTGCCTAAAAACTGTTAATAAATGTAGGCCTAGAAATCCCTGAAGGGATGCATATCACCCACTGCCTTTCATACCAGAATTGCGTACTAAGATCATCTCTTTTTGACAAGTGMAAAGATTGAAGACTGTTGGTCAGACCTTAAAAAATAATATTATATGCATTGCCACGCTCAGAATATATGTTGTGAATGACTCAGCTTCTAACAGAATACTACGGAGCCCGCGAGGGGACACAGGGGGATTTTTTTCTTTTGCGATACCTCGCAATACCTTTGCGTTACCTCGCAATATTGTTTTGCGTTCCCATGCAGAAGTTTGTTTTGTATATGAACTGAACTAAATCAGAGTTTTATTTTGAAATATCCGGTTACCAAAACAG